ACGGGATTTATCACAATATTTATTTATACGTACGAGAAATTCGCGCTATTGATGCCTGAAATATACGGTGGCCGTAGGTCTATTGGAAGGAAAGGTTTTGGCGGAGTGCCTCTTGCAGTCTGCCGTACCTAGGAGTGAAAAAAACCAATAATAAAACCAGGAAAAAAATTATCTACTCCCGCCTCGCCTTCCTTTTTTCCCCTCCATTTCCCCCCTCTGCCCGCTCTCTTCCTTTCACAACTCTCCCCCCTCAAAAAATATCAGCCGTCTTTTGCTGGGTAATTCCGCCTGTCGACATCTTCCCTTCGATTTTTTAGACATCTTCCAGTCAATCCTTCAAAATGTCCAACGACGACGCCCAGGTGAGTCTTTTGCGACAGCTGTATTATGCCCCTCCGTGCCCTGTCTCTTTTGGTGGTGGTGGTGGTTGTGGTGGTCGAATGCGATCGATGTCGGTTGCTTTGGCGAAAATCGACCACCCCGCATCCACATTGGCGAGAGAGCCCCGCGGATGCTTCAACGCACCACGGCTCTGCACAGAAACTCGGGCAACACGACGCATACGAGCATCAAATACCACACCAATTTCGATTCCATCCTCCTGCCATCATCATGCCGAACGACGTCCATATTTTGAGTTGGCTCAACCGCTAACGCATCGTCTCCGAACAGCATGAGATGACCTTCGAGTCCACCGACGCCGGTGCGTCTCTCACCTTCCCCATGCAGTGCTCTGCTCTGCGCAAGAACGGTCACGTCGTTATCAAGGGCCGCCCCTGCAAGATCGTCGACATGTCTACCTCCAAGACTGGCAAGCACGGTCACGCCAAGGTTCACTTGGTCGCCATCGACATCTTCACCGGCAAGAAGCTTGAGGATCTCTCTCCCTCCACCCACAACATGGACGTCCCCAACGTCTCCCGCAAGGAGTTCCAGCTCGTAAGTTGCCACAAGTCTCGTTACATTACCAATATGGGCCTTGTTTGCTAACATGACACCCTCCACAGATCGATATCTCCGACGATGGTTTCCTCTCCCTCATGAACGACGATGGTGACCTCAAGGACGATGTCCGTCTTCCCGACGGCGAGATTGGTGAGAAGATCAACAAGCTCTTCAAGATTGACGAGAAGGACACCAGTAAGACTTCCCACCCCTCACGACGACAAGCTTGTCGAGCAACACAAAAGAGGTCATCACTAACTGACAACTACAGACGTCGTCATTCTTACCGCCATGGGTGAGGAGGCCGCCGTTGAGGCCAAGGAGGCCCCCAAGCAGGGTTAAGCGCTGCAACTCTACCATATCATCAGACAATGACTTCCACAAGCGCTCAATTCAAGCGGCCTTGCTGGCAGATGTTGGCAGACTGGGGACATTTCTTGCGATATTTCTTGGCGCTTCGAAATTAACGGTATCCCCGTCAGTCGTTGCGTAGGCTATATCTGGACAGGACTTGATACTGGGTACGCGAACTTGACAACTGCAAGACATGTCGCACGACTTTTTTCCTTTGTTTTGTCTGTCCCACAGACTCTTAACGACGATCAGACTAGCAATGGGATAGGTGAAAAAAATGGGAGAGCCTCGCGGTGGTAGCAGATTTGTCCGATGGAAAAGCGGTACATATCTCCACCACGCGGTCTCTGTTTTTCGTTCAAACTCTATGTACAGATTTAGTGAAAACGCCAAATGTGTAATGCCCATGAAAGTGATTCGACTACAAGCTGCATGTTGTTGCTCCTACATTTATAAGTCTTACCTCGTTCATCTGTAAGAACCGTGAAGTTTTGATAGGCTCCTTTTCACGATGACGGCTTAGCTATCGTGGGCTGTCAGTATGAGTGAGGTAGACTCAGCTGGTTAAGCTATGTGACATATTACTTACCTAAAACTAAATGCTTGAAATCCCTAAATTCGATAGTCCCTTTTGAGCACTCTCAAATCTTGGTCTGAAGATAATATAATTCGGGGGCTGTTTTGTGACAAACTGCCTGCCAGGTTCCGCCTGCCTGGTAAAGGTGCGTCCCGAGAAACGGGCACCGCGCACTGTCAAAAACTTCACCAATCTGGTGACGATTTTGCCTAGATCAACTTTGCAACCAAGTACGACCAACCTATCAGTCAGAGCACCATGGCCCCGGAGAGGGACCTTCATAAGTTTCCAAAAGGAGAACGATGTGAATTTTGCGGTTCCCGCAAATGGTATCTCGAAAATGGTTTGAGATTCTGCGCCAAGGAAGGCCACCAGCTTCAAGTTTGTCCAAGCCATGCTTTGCATCTCCTATGATGAGCCGCAGCTCACACTTTCAACCAGGGATATGTTGAATTTGACCTTGGCGATGAGGATTTCGGCCAGAAGGGTCGCGTGGCTCGGAAGGAGAAGCAGATCAAGGAGCGCATCAGACGAGTGCTCACCGGCCAGCAAGCACGAGATTTGTATCTTGAGTGCCTGCAGCTCATCCTCAGAGAGCAGGTAATATGGCTGGTCACCACAAAGGAACATAAGCCGGAACTAGAGACGACTGTCCGCGATCTTTGGGATCTTCGCATCTCCGGAGCTGCGACAGCTGTTCAGGATGACTCGGCCTCGGAGGGAGAGCCCTCGCTATTCAGCTCGCAACTCGACCTCGCCCAGGATGAGGAGCACCAGTCTCGGAACCGACGAGCACAAAGATGGACAGGAGAGAATGGGAGCGAGTGGCCGGCACCCCGAATGATTGACACACTAGGCCTTTGCTTCCTGGGGTGCATGTTGCTGAGAATACCCACGCGTATTGGTGATCTTTGCAAGTGGGCGAGAGGGGGGAGCATCCCGTACAAAGAAGCTGTTGGTACTACTTTCGGCCATATTTGAATCCTCCCTAACAAATCACAGTATCGCCAGCTACCTCAGGAGATGCGTGATCGATTGCCAACTTGGTATACAACACCGCTGAAGTCGACAAACCTAGCTGCCTTCGAGAATGGAGAACTGCACGCTTCAGTCATGAATTTGGCTTTGTCGTATCATCTCAATTACGGCATGATCTTCCCACCGCTCAACGATGTCCTGATGACATTACAGTATGCACGCGAGCTGGGCCTGCCTAGTAGGTCCTCTGGCCATGACAAAAGATGGACTCGACTGACGACTCCCAGTTGAGACGGTGGCGATTGCGCGCCGCGTTCCACCCATCGCCAACTTAACCTTCAGTTTTCCACTGGAGAAGACCCGAATCCGTCTCATAAACCAACCAGAAGTTCTCCTGGTCACCATCCTTGTCCTTGCTGCGATGCACTGCTTCCCACTCGAGGACAACGTGCCAGCTCCCCAGGACGAGAACAACTTCATCGTGCCTAAGCTTGACTGGAAAGAATGGAAGAGGATAATGACTCCAGCCTTGGCTCCAGATGAAGCTACATCTACCGTTGACTACACAGGCGTTACGGCGTCTCAGATCACATCAATGAGCCCGAAAGAGCTAGATGAGTACTTTACACACCTTTCACTGCTGACTGAAGCACACAGTGAGTCAAAGTACCCTTGGGTTTGCTGATCCGGTAATTGACAACGACTTAGCCGAAGAGAGCCTACTCGCGAGGTACTTTCCCGTCGACGAGCAAGCCCCCAAACATACAGAGTCCGAGACAACAGGGGATGAGATGGCTGGAAGGCTGCGCGCTGTCCAAACACAGGCTGCATCGTTTGTCGACTCAGATGCACACAACAGACTTGAGGAGGAAAGTTTGCGAACCAGTCGATATCACTCATACAAATCTGAGGGAGACCTTCCTCCCATAGGCAGGGACTTCTTTCAGCTGGCGGCGCGGCTGGCAGGGCTGTCCGTTCCAATGTTGGTGCGAGCCGTCAATATGCTCGAGGGCCACATTGTGACCTGGCAAAAGGAGCAACGCAGGGCAGCCAGCGAAAGACGTGAACGATCGCGTTCTTTCGTTTCTATGGAGTCGGATACTGAGCAGCCGACATATACCGAATAATGCTCCGTTTTGAGGAAGGCCATTACGGGCTGTGATACGCCCTCCTCAAGAGACAGAAGTTGGTGGGCATGTAAGTGTTCTCAGCTCCTTAGGATGGGCACAAGTGCACAAGTTGGAATTATCAGCGTCGAGATACCCTTAAAGTAGAAAGGAGTTTTTGTCCAGAACGAAATGTAGAACCCGTATATTTCGTCCTTATTGTTCCCAGTGTCGAGTATCTTGTATGAGCCAGAGACCACTTCCAATTCATCGGCATATATGGACTTTTCCATGGCGAAGAACACAAGGATAGTAAAGGAACTAGAGGATGAGCCTGTTGAAGTATGTAGGTCATCGTAACTCAAGAGTGAGGTGGGTGACACCGGGCAGACCCGTAATTTCCACAGGGAGCCCTCCGCAGCCTCCTCACTTTCGCACATACATGAACGCTCGGACCATGTCCGTACCCGCGTGCCCTAATTAGGGCTTGTCGGTCGCTCGCGCCGCAACCTCAACACTCATTCTCAAGCCCGCCCCACCAATTATTTGCCGCGATCACCAGAACTTTCTCGGTAACAACAGCCAGTTCACGAACGTCGGCAAGAGTAAGTGATGAGAGCCCCCTGCACGGCGAGACGGCGTCATGCTGCGCGCCGCTGCTCTGATTGTTGATTTTTGGCGATGCTAACGATATTTTGCGTGTAGTGCAGATGTGAGCCAACCCCGAACACCCCTCCCGCCCGATGCCGAGCGCAACAAATTCTCTTTCCATACGACGACGAAGTCCGAAAACGCCGAATGTGCTGACGATGGTGGTTGCAGTTTCGTGAAGACCCTGACGGGTAAGACCATTACCCTTGAGGTCGAGTCCTCCGACACGATCGACAATGTCAAGTCCAAGATCCAGGACAAGGAGGGCATCCCTCCTGACCAGCAGCGCCTGATCTTCGCTGGCAAGCAGCTTGAGGATGGCCGCACCCTCTCCGACTACAACATCCAGAAGGTTAGTCTCATTGCGCGGGGCACTTGAAAAGAGGGGGAGCAAAGCATCCGGGTCGCTGGGGATTATGAAGATATGATGGGTCAAAGAGACATGGAAACTGACACACCAAACAGGAGTCCACCCTCCACTTGGTCCTCCGCCTCCGTGGTGGTATCATTGAGCCCTCCCTCAAGGCTCTTGCCTCCAAGTTCAACTGCGACAAGATGATCTGCCGCAAGTGCTACGTAAGTAGCCTCTACTCTCATCCCCCGCCAACCCAGGTCGGCCGCGCGACCTAAGCAAAACCTAACATGGATTCATATAGGCTCGTCTTCCCCCCCGTGCGACCAACTGCCGTAAGCGCAAGTGCGGTCACACCAACCAGCTCCGCCCCAAGAAGAAGCTCAAATAGACGATTCATTACGGTTGCGGCGTCACGGGTTCTGGCATTCTGGAGAGGATGGCAGGGATACGAATTTTCCTGGGCTTTGTGGTAGCATTACTTTCCATCGGCAAGCAGTTCGTCGAATAAAAACTGAATTGGTCGCCCTCCTACCTCAAATGTCAAAAGGAAACACAACCCGGACTACCCCGTTTATGCCTTGTCGTACATCAACAAATGATGTTTGGAGGCTGAGAGAAAAATCGTTTGGCGAGAGAGCGCGCCTAGGCGTCCTGAGTGCAGCATGGAGATGCTAATGAGCATGAGAGACGTACTATGATGGATGCGGGATGGCGACTGACCTGCCTCACAATGCTCCATTGACTACAGTGGAAAATCAGCACAGTAGCGAAATACAGAGCCTCAGAACCATATCTCGTTCAATTTGGTGATGCACGTCATGCATGTGGACATCGTGATTTTGATCTTATCAGATAGTGTCTATTGCTTCTATCGAAATTCTTCTGAGCACATGGTGTGAAATGGCGTGTGCTTGCATAAAACTGGGACGCGATTTATCCGCATTAGTGCAACGTTGGTATGGCTCTTACAGGGATGTATCCCTTAGTGGAGACTTTTTCTTCCCAGGGAGCTGCAGGGCCAAACTGCGTATGTGGGATTACGACACCTTGTCCAAAGCTCGAGGTGTTCCTGTTCGTACGTACACACGTATCGACCGTCCCAACTTGTCCGACTTCACGATCTCCAACGACGACGACCCAGTAGCCCAGAGCTTCATTTCCACAACTCGACGAGGCATAAAGCAGTGTCGGAAACCAAGGTCGGATTCTTCTCAGCTTCAATAGCCAATCATGTCACGGTCCGGGTCCGGATACGACGCCGTCGTGGACGTCGACGACGAGGTGAGAGCTCCCTTCCTTACATCTTCCTCGCAAACGCCCCCAAGACTAAACGCACTTCCTTTCGCAGGGCGACCTCGGCCATACCGACCTCCAAGACGATCTCGAATTCCACAGCTCTAACTTCAATGACACGACGCCGGGCACTCGCAAGGCGCCTGCGTCAGGCCTCCCGCCGCCTGCGACAGCATCGTCCGGCTCCTCGAAGCGCTTCCTCTGGAGCATCAACTTTTACGCCCAGTACTTTGACGTCGACACCTCGGCTGTACTCTCTCGCTGCTGGGCTGCGCTGTACCCGCGCGCCAACTTCCTCGACGTCTTGGAGGGAAACCCTGACCTCTACGGCCCCTTCTGGATCGCCACGACCGTTGTCTTGATCCTTTTCCTCGGCGGCACCATCAGCCAGTACCTTGCGAGCACAGGGTCAGGCCCGTTCGCCTATGACTTCAAGCTCTTGAGTGGTGAGACTCCTTGACAATTAGCTTACAGTCCTCCATGATGATCACTGACATTACTCCTCACAGGTGCCGCCGGTCTGATCTACGGCTACACGCTCTTCGTCCCTGTCGCCCTCTACCTCGCCCTACGCTACTTCGGCTCCGAGTCCGCCAACCTCCTCGAGCAGTGGGCTCTCTACGGCTACGCCAACCTCATCTGGATCCCCGTCGCCCTCATCAGCTGGTCCCCCATCAACATCCTCAACTGGGTTTTCGTCGCCGTCGGCTGCGGCCTCTCCGTCGCCTTCCTCCTCCGCAATCTCTACCCCGTCCTCAGCGCCACCGACCACCAGACAAGCAAGATTCTGCTCGTCGTTGTCGTCGCCCTCCACCTCGGCCTCTCGCTGGCCATCAAGATCCTCTTCTTCGCCCACGGCAGTCCCGTCGCGAGCAAGGACCCCGCGGCGCCGCCCGCTACGCCCGCTAACCCCCCTGCCGAGGGAGCGCCTCCCACCTTTTGATTCACCCTTGGGGTTCTGCAAAGTCACCACTAGAAGAACCTTTCAGAGACTGTTATAGAAGAGCGTGCGAAAGGAGCTCGTCACTTGCATTTTGTCTACTTTTGGAACATGGGGGATGCTGTGTCATCCGCCGGAGTGTAGGGTTTCATGTACCATATCTGTACAACGAATATCATGATCAAAAGTCGCCGTCTATCTTACCATGCCGTGTGCCGTGTCGTATGACACACCTCTCAAGACTTGAATCATACACGCCAACCGCGTGATAGAAAACCTGATGCTATTTCAATCCTGCCCAATCTGCTTTCCGCCCTTCTCAACCTCTCCCCCCTTCTTTGTCCAGTCCAACCAGCTCCCGGGGTACTCCCCGACCTTGGACCACCCAGCATCCCTCGCCAGCGTCGCCAGCGCCCGGCTCCGCACGCCGGCCTTGCAGTAGAACACCAGCTCCGTGTCCTTGCTCGGGCGCGGGTACCCGTACCGGTCCTCAAAGTCCTCGTCGGCGATGAGGAAGCTCTCGGGCGCCGTGGCGACGGGGATGTTGAGCGCGGTGGGAATGCGGCCTGTTTCTACTAGTTCGTGTGGTTCGCGGGCATCTGTTGTAGAAAGGGTGGGTTTAGTTAGCCGAAATGGAACGAACAATCCCATGAATGATCAGCCTGTGGCTGTGAGGGAGCGAAACGTACCGACGATGACGACGTTGCCGGGATCCTTTGCCAGCTCCGCCATCTGCTCAAAGTCCCAGATCTTGCTCCCGTTCGCCGAGATCTGGTGGTAGTCGTCCTCCACCCTCTCCTTCTCCGAGGAGAAGAAGCGTGCCGTTGTCGCATGCGGGTTCGTCGTCACTGCAGCAGCAGCTCTCGAGCGCAGAGGAGTCGTAGTCTTCCCCGGAACGGCGCGGGCGGAGAGAGTCGACGTCGCCGCGGCGGCAAAGGACCGTCTCGTCGTGGCCGCCGCTGTCGGGGCGCGGGCGAGCTGGCTGCTTGCCCGGAGGGCGTTGGCGCATACGCTCCTTGTGGAAGCCATCTCTTTCTGTCTTTCTGTCTTTCTTTTTTTTTTTTTTAGGGCCTATTGGGGAGGGAACAAGTTGCCTGAAATGGAATAAATCTCGCGATTGTCAAAGAGAATAGAGAGCGTCTTGGGGACGGGAGTAGCTACGAAGCTTGGGAGCTGGAAGCTTGGAGAGCTTTAAATTGATTGCGGGAAGCTCTAGCGGGTTTCCTTTCGGCCAAGGGACGGCGGGGCCCCGGGGACCTGGCGCCCGTGCAGCGTTGATGACAGTGCTGCCCGCTTTTTTCCTGCAGCTTTGGCCGGTCTCCACTGATGGCACTCGGGCGGGCTTCATCTCTGTTCGACGACTTGGCTCTCACCGGCTCCTTGTCCATTATATCTATTTCGCCGACCATCACATACTATCCTCTCCGGGGCCCATTCACTAATATTGATCCAATAGGAAAAGATAAAATAGGTGTGATATTAACAACCGCTCGCGTACCGTCTTGGTTGACAGCCATTCGGCATTCATTTCTACGGTTGATGCTACGCGGCTTCCTCATCTTCATCAACGTCCATGTTACTCAACGCACAAGGGGGCTCAAAGATATTTGAAGTTTCTTTTTTAGCCATTGGCTCTGAACTGAGTCTATCGTCACCCAGCATCATTCGGATCGGCCGTTTACCCAATATCCATCCTCGTTGAGGGATCATAGTCCCTGAACAACTCAAAGTCCGCGGCATCGCCCGCTCTTTTTAGGACTGTTCTCCTGAAAAAATTATGTA